GATGAGGAGTCCCATAATAGGAAGAAACAGTCTAGTACTTCCAGGTTTTCCATGATGGTCTAGCTTCAATTGACTCATGATCGTAATTATTAAAGTATTATTAAATGTTGGAAAAAGTATAGTTTAAAAAGGAGCCAATAATCATGAAAGAGAAAATCACTGTTGGTTTTTTGCGTAGAATTGTAACAGGAATGACTCTTATCATATCATATGTAACAAACAGTAAAAATGGCTCTTCTTAGTGCTCAGGAAGTTTAAAATGATAAAACATGTTAGATGTTCAATTAATTCTATATAGACTGTATATAACAGGTAAGTCTCTAAATTCTAATCCTGAAAGAAACCTTTATATGGTGGTACCATGCTTTATAAACGAAACAGTCAGATTTCAGATAATACCTCCTAAGATTTTGAGTGTAATGTATTCATTTATTGTTAGGTCCCGATAAACATAATGAATGGTAACTTTGGGATCCTTTTATAGACCAATACTATACGTACATTTTTATTGTATGATTGTTAAATAACTAAACTATTCATATTCATATCCCACTACCACTACGGGATTTGAACCGACAATCGTATCTTTGTGCTAACGTGTTATGACAACTCGAACTGATGTTTGTACATACGAAGTTCTACGTTGTTACTGACTGAACTCTAAATTCCTAATCTAAACCTCGCGCAGCTTCGGTGAATGCAGTTCTCATTATTTAATTGTCTAGATTATTATTTCACTCTGTCAGTTATAAATTCCTTCTCTTCATTTCTATATCGCTTTTAGAGCTTTACTCATTATCTTCGGTTGATCCGTCCGTTTTTATCGTCGTTATTAAATGATTCTCAACATTCATTTTTATTGGCGAAGACGGATGGTGGCTAGCATTGGACTCGTCAGCTGGATGTACCTGCATTTCAGAGTTGATGTTCACTCCGGGACCCGAACCCAACATTGTTCGCTTAAACACTATCGCGTTATCCACTTAGCTACTGAGTCCTGATAGCCATTTGCTTGTGCGATGTGGTTAAATCTAAATACACGCTGTTGTTTGCTTGTATCTTCGGATTGTTGCTTATAAAGCTTGTGACTTCAGGCAATATCGAAACAATCTGTACAGGATGCCAACAAGGGACTGATTAATTGTAGTCCTAAACAACAATGGGAAGATACAAGTAAACAACAAGTGAATTCATTTTTACAATTTGTAACTTATTCCTATTAGTTTTTATTGCTTTTTTCCTAGAGTTTTTTATATTTAACTAACACCTAAATAATTTTAGAATTCTTTCATATTTATATTGCCGTTTTCTTATTAATTTTCATTAATATAGGGTATTTACATCATTCGATTTACGTCAGGGATCGGGTGCCCGGGCCGAAGCAGGTGGTTTTATTAGAGGGCCACATCCGCAGCCTTCGACCTAAAGGTCTGATCCACAAGGCAGTGGAGCAACGTCAGGAGATGCACTCCCATGGTAGCCGGTGACCAACCATTGATCCATGCGCCATTTGTTCCTTCAGGATACTGGAGCCCATGTGCACGATTGGTTTCGAATCAGGGATCAGGTAGTAAGACTTCGTTGGATGTGGCTATATACGCGTGGTCATGTGAGATCATTTCGAGGAGAGAGAACTCTCCCCACCCTCGACTGTACCAAGACATTTGGGGGGTATGTGTTTTAAGAGAATCTATGAAATAAATTCATTGAAAAAGTTGTAGGATAATAGCTAAATCAAATAAAATGAATATGTGAAAAAGGAAATCTATGTCATTTTTAATACAACTTGATGATTTAAATGCATGTAAAGCATATTTAGCTAAGTTTCCTTTGCACGACTGAGAGTGGGGACAGTCAGCTCTCCCTCCAAATGCTCTCACATAGCCACGTGCATACAACTACTGCCACATAAATCCTACTTACTGCCTTCTCAAGGCACTACTGTTGTTTACGAAATTGAGGGGATGAGAAGCGAATGTCCGGCGATTTAACCGTGTCGGTGGATATGGAGGATCCACCTAGGGGAGTTGGAAAACCCTGACTCCAAGCCAATGGTGCACATGAGCTCCAGTATCCTGAAGGAACAAATGGCGCATGGACCAATGGTTGGTCACCGGCTACCATGGGATTTCATCTCCTGACGTTGCTTCACTGTCCTGTGGATCAGACCTTTAGATCGAAGGCTCCGGATGTGGCCCTCTAATAAAACCAACTGCCTCAGTCCGGGCACCCGAGCAGTATCCTATCCCTGACATAAATCGGATGATTTATGTAGCGCATATCTGTTTGTTTCCTTCCTTGTGTCAATGTTTATATGTTTAAATAAATAAATAAGTTTTAAACAAACGAGTCAAATGAACTCTTATAAAGAAATTTATAACTTACTTGGATATATGTAAAATACAAATAGAATTGATGCAATACAAATAATAATTGATAATGGTCCAATATAAATATATGTACATTTTTTCGTTGAAATTTTATTGTTAACATAGTCTGAATTTATACTATCATCATCACTATCATTATCTTCTTCACGTATATATACATGTTCCATAAATCGTGTAACAGAAGATGAACCATTATGATGATCTGAATGTCTCATACATTCAATTTGTGTTATACCATTATTATTTGAAGAATTTTTTAATATATCTGAATCAAATATCAAGGAACTACTGTTCGAATCTGAATTCTGATAGAAGTCACCATCATCATTAATTGAATCATAATGACGATGTTTTAATTCATTATCTAATGGAAATTCTTTTGATATTCTCAATTGTTGTTCAGGTGATAATGATAATAATGAAGACTGGGATGAATACTAAAATTAAAGCGAAATATATGTAAGTACAGACAGACACGAGAAGAATGAAATCTTTTTGGATAGAACTAGGAAGGAAGGCTCAGGACAGAGTGGGTTGGAGAATGCTAGTCGGCGGCCTATGTCCCATTGGGAGTGACAGGCGTAAGTAAGTACAGTAGGTGATCACATTACTATGTGTGAACACATTTGTAGATTAAAAAAACGGACTTGTTTCATCACATAAGTAATTTAATCTAATACAGTTCAGTAACCACATACAGGCTCATGTATTCGACTTTGATTAAAACATTTGATGTGAAAGCTATCGATATTATTTGACTACTTGAACAGAAACAGATGGACAGCGCTGAACCTCACATCTTAATAAGTGAAAGTTGATTGATTTAACCAGTCAGTCAATAACAATTAACAGTAGATAAGTTTCCGATAAATAGCTTTTGCTAACAATATTACTTAAATAATCCAATACGGTTAACTACATAAGTGCGTAATTTACCCGAACCGATGGTGAAGTCAAATATTTTTGAAGATCCATCTAAAGCAAAATAATTAAAAATATCTCGAACTACTGTGAACGTCACCAAAAAGTCGGTATTTCTACCGTTGATTCCCATTTATACAAAGACAACTGGGAAGTCTTCATTACAAAGCACAATACTAATAATCGTTATACGCAGCTCAGATAGTTGATAATTCATAATCTGATTGACCTATTCTTTTTCCCTCAACATCGCCACCTTCACTCTGCTCCACCCCAACTTCATATTGCTTATTCGGCCGGTCTTCACCCAATAGGTACCTAGTTTGTGAGATTTCGGCACCCTGTAGGGACGTAATGTGGTTTCGAATTTGGGATATAAGGTAAACAATAAGTAAACGCCAATAGAAGGCTTTAATTCTTTTAGAAGTTCACTTATCTCAGACTCATCACTATTTTCAACCAATGGAAGAATCTCGTGAAATCTCGACTCGTGGCACTTAAGCTAGACAAAAAGATTTCCTGATAATCTCGTAGGGTTGACAAATCTACAAATTGAATCGGCAACAGAAGTACATGCTGTTTTTAATAATCACCAAATCGCTATTAAAAATATGGGAATAATTCGGAAAGGCTTTCCCAACTATAAAGAGAGGCAAACAGTCAAGGCGTTTCATGGAATGCTAAATCCATTTGCACTCAATAGTGGTAGTTCAAGAGAAAAAACACCACGATTTAACTACTAATTTTTCCTGACGACCTACCGAAAAGCTTATGGACCTCAGACATTATTGTTTCAACTCATTCAACACGTAACAGTATTCTTAGTTTCAATGAAGTTATGAGGGATGAGGTCAGTATCTTATCCATACTGTGTATGGATTATGGACAACTATAATACAGATGTACTACAAATGAACTGATCTGTAAAGTATTCAGTCAATAAAAAGCAACGTAGAAACTAGTGAAAACGTGCATCGACATAGGTTTTTACACTATTAGCACAGTTAAACAAATTTATAATGAACACTGCAGTATCCATACCATTAATAGCAAAAGAGATTTAGGGGTAGAGAATATGATTCACAGAAAAAAGTGAATTCACGGAACAAAAGTTAAAAAACAATTTTGAAAATGAGCATCAAGTTGTTACATCTAGTCTCATTCACCTTCAACCGAAATATCGTGTAAGACCTCCAGGAACAAGTGTTCCAGTCCGTGTATAGAGACTGAGTCAACTCAATGATCAAAGCCAACCACCGCGTCAAGGTAGCAGCTATGGCTAGGTGTGACAATAACAGGAGGGAGTACAAATATAGCATACGGCTCTCACTGAATCTGGTACACAACAATGGATTGTCTTATCCCCCCCTGGCAGGTCAGGTAACCCGACAATCACGAGAATACCATCCGAGCATTCGACAAACTAGATACTCAACAAAACATCTCAACTCTCCACTCACAAACTTTACTAGTGACATAAGTGTTTTATACTTTATAACCAAGAAAATGGCTTCAGCAAACGACTTGCAGTTTTGCGAATCATACGGTTTTATCAACACATTAATCTTTCAGAAATCATAACAGTACGTATAAATGAATGTGTATTGAATAACTGGGTACATATATATTTACAAATGTTTTAAAGTTAGAATCGAATCTTTTGTACAAGAATGCATGAATAGAAAATAACTACTCTGAACAATGATCTATATCAACAGGTAAACAAGAAGTCAGCTCTAACGATCGATCATTAATAAGACCAGTAAGAAAATCGAATGTTTTCAGTGCAGATATATTTCGACCCTTAGTAAAACAAGAGTGTGATTGGTGGACATCGATTGATTGAATTTGTTCGTCGACTTTATTAACTGATGCTTCATAAGCCGTAACATCATCGTTCAAATCCACCAACTCATATTTAACATCACAGTTGGAATCCTCAAAATTCTCATGGCTTTTTAATAATTCCTACCAAAAAATAAATAGGTGACAAGTTAAAAACCACATATATACAGCACCAAAATATTTTTTAATATCAAAAACAGTAAAAGATAGTTAACCATGGCTTGACATCAACGGAAAAGCACTGAATACCAAATAGTACTGGAAAATTATTTCTTGGTCCCAAACTTTTTAGCATACTGCACCAAGATCAAACAAAACCTTTGTGTTTGGAGGTGAACACAATGTCGAAAAGTACAGGATGTAGGATTGAAAGTAGTCAATCCCGAGTTTTAGGGTAGGAGACAGATGTCCACCGTTTCCTGGTTTACAACTGTCAGTTAGTGATGAAAGTCAAATCCAGATTGTTAAAAAAACCTTAAATGCTACTTTCGTGAGTGTTATCAGACTAAAACGGAGAAGGCGCTGACCGCACATGGTCTTGTCACATTTACCTACTGTCTTCACCTAAAATAAATGATAAAAACCGTACTAGCTCCTTCAGTAGGTAATTGGGTATGAGTCACATTAAAGTGTGAGGGACAGTGGTACTAGCCAGTGACCAAAAGCGAAGAGAACACCACTTTTGTGCTTCCGTTGAATGCCAGGGATAATTTGCAGGCATCTATAATTATATACTTATGACTTGTGAAAGTCCTCTACTCTCATAAACCGCCTTTTACAGCAGTGAAGTAATGTAAAATGAACTAACACACAGTATACTTTCATTCTAATTAGAAAGCGAACACGCTCTACAGTAGCCAAAAGATATTAGTATATCTGTGCCAAGATAGCAACCAGCCTACCATGGTACTTAAGGCATCTAAAATAATTGAAGAAACTAATGTCTCAAACGATTTCACTGCACAAGGTTAAGTTAGACATGAACCCATCCAAACCAGCCCAGAATTTCGAGGTACGGAGACGAATATTCCTGCGTTACTATTCGAAGAATTCAGCAGATTGTTTTTGTCATTGTCTTCGCCAAGTAGAATTGTCATTTGAATACTCTCAATCAACACGTTGAAACTGGATGAGACGAACCATCTTTTACATCCACTGCTTCAATCCAAAACCCAGGAACATATAGTCGTATTTTTCAGAAGTGAAGATGTCGCATTCTGAATTTTCACTCTATATTAATTACTTGCAAGTAAATTTCCCGGACTAGGATCATCTGCCAAAATTTGTTCATGGAACAAGATCATTATCATAACTTGTTGGTTATTTCGATAGTTACCTCTACTCTAAAACATCATACACTTGCGGCTATAATCCGTTCAACTCGTGAAAAAAAAAGAACATAAACTTTATATTACTAGACTTCGCAGATATTTTAAATGTACATTACTCTTGGGTGACTATATATTTAGATTAGGTAATAAAACAAGCTAACACTGGTATAACCCGACCCATCACGTTAACTTTGTCCTTGCTTTATGCTTTGTCTTCACTTCTAACTAACTAGCTGTAGATTATAGTTACTACACAATTTCACCAGAATAGCCTTTCGACAGTGCATATGTTCCATTCCCACTAGCAACTAGGAATAACTGGGTGCCGACTTTTGCCCTGCATTACTATAAATCTTGAGACAATTGCCTTTTCGAAGGAATGCATAAACATTTGTTCAAACAGCCTAACTCTATATCTCTGTCAATTATGTGTAACATGGATTTTTAGATCAACCTGAATATGCTTGTAAATAGATAGATATTTAACTATTTCTATAACAGAACCTACTTATCATGACATGGAACAATTGAGAATACCATTAGCATAACTGACGTGAACAAGACAAATACTTCTAGTTTTGTCAGCACTAATATTTTAACCATCGAAATATCATATAACTCAAAGGTGGTAGGTGGACAACCGAATAAGAGTAGCCTGTAGATCAAAGAACTCAGGACAAAACGATGTGGCTTAATTTCCAAGTACAGACATATACACTATACTATGGGTTACATTTTGGTTGCATAAAATTTAATGTCACTACCGGGATGTCAGAGCTGAAGTGGAAGGTAGTTTCAGACGGTCGAAAGTTGAATACTCAGATTTGGTCGATGAAATGACGATGTGCAGATTTCGAACAGGAGATTATGACACAGCATAAAAACACCACTTCGAGTTATCCCCTCAAAATCTTTTTAAATTTTTAGCAGTACGATCAAATTATTATATGACTGGATAGATTCCCTGCAAAACGTTTATGTTTCCCTGGTAAGCTAGCTATTAAAAACTATGTCCTGGTGGTTCTCCTTGAAACAGTGACGAAGGTTACCCGAACAATATAACTTACGTCTTCTGCAGACATATATGTCATACAATCCTCTTCACAAAATTCGTCATCGTTTGGATTCGTAAGGGTGTTCAAAGCCAATAGTTCCATCTTCATACGGTTATCAAGATCATGGATTTCGAGCAGAGCTGATTCTAAGAGTTTAATTCTATGAGCAACTTGATGGTTTAGAAACCTAGCGACTGATTTCTTAATTTTGACCGACATTGATGAGCACGGTAAAAAGGTTAGATTCTTTCGAAAAACCCCGCCTTTTCGTTAAAGCGACCTTGAACGGTCTGACAACAGGTAGCTCAAAATTTATCTTTGACACGAAGATCCAAGGCTCAATTGCAAATTTCAATCCTCATCAAACATAAGTAGTAGCCCTGATGTTTTCTGGGTTCCGTGTTTGATCTCGAAAGAGAATTACAAGTTATGGAAGGTTTTAATTACTGTTATAACATTTCAAAGCTCTAAAACAACTGAAAATGCAATTGTTTTTGTCACGAGTCTTCAAGGAATAACAATTGGGGTATCTTCTTAAATGGCAATAGAACTAAAACAAATATTAAACCTTCTACATCAGAGGTCAGAGGAAGATCGTATTGTTGTTTTCTTGAGTACTGACTTCTGAGTTTCTTTTGATCTCTTAGTGTTTTGCCTTTATGCGGTGGTTACGGTGATGGTTATGAACGATATTATACAAAATTTAATATATATAATATATTTATGACAAGCCTGTATGAGTCAACCGATCCCTCTCTCTTTCGTTCTATCATTTTGGTACGGTTCTAGGTCTCTGATAACCCCTAATAAGTAGTACTCGATTTTACTTATCCTACTTATCAGTAAGGTGTTGTGGAGATGATCAAATATGATTAAGATCATGAACAGATCTGATTTGTGCTACCATTAAAACCCATGAAAGCTGGAAGGCCATTATGTTTCAGTGTAGGAATTTTCCTCAGCAATGCCCATCCTTGACTCTGTGCGCAGTATTTGGGCTCAGGACTTTAGGTCTTTCGGGAGAACGCTTCACCTTTAGACCCCTGAGTCAATATCAGCAATCTCCACAACCACTTGCTGACAATTATCTTGTGCTAACTAGTGACCGGCTTTGAGGGAAAATTTCGAGAAACTCAATGAGAAGCCGTGACTCGTATGGCTGAAATGAGTAGGGTGGGAGGCAGTTACCCGCTGAAGATAATGAAAGATGGTCGCACAATGTCATGAATTAGACACTAACATCATTGGATCATCAGTCAGTGGCCATGAGGTGAAGCGTTCATATGCGAGACTAGGGGGCCTGGGTTTGATTCCCTTATGATGGGCCATGGATGAACATTGTCAGGGACCCAATACTGGGACGAAACGACCATCCGGTGTTCCCAGGTTGTCAATGGCGATTCATCACCCTGAAGTATGTTGATGAACATAGATGTCTGTTAGTTGAAGCAATTGTGTGCTAAATTATTTTTGAGTGTCATATGAGTCGCTAATTTACAACTGCCGACAGGCTGGAAAGAGAAACACCTCGTCATCATACCAGAGAAAAAAGATCTCAGCAAGTATGAGACCTACTGAGGCATCACCTTACTAGTGGTATCACTTTTTAACAAAGTGTTACTGAGCCGGATGACAGATTCAGTATATGCCCAGCTTCGAGGTTAACAGATCGGATTCAGTAAGAATCTGTAGCGCACAGACCAAATCACAACACTGCGGGTCATTGTCGAACAGTCAACTGAGTGGAACTCGTCACTGTAATTTTGGTTCCTTGAATATGAGAATGCATTTTACGTTGTGGATGGAACAGTATGGAAACTTATTCGAAAATTGCCAATATCATGCGGAACTCATACGACGGACTACAATGGAAAGTCGTGAATGGAGGGCAGCTAACTGCCTCATTCCAAGTGAATACCGGAGTCTAACAATGGTGCTTACTCTCCCCCTTTTTCTCTCTTCTGGTGGTTGACTGAATTACAAAGACCTCCACATTTCAGGGAGGTTTGGGATATAATTGACAGATTGGATGGAACCAGACGATTTGGACTTCTTAGATAACGTAGTTCTTCTATCCAATACACACGAACAAATGCAGATTAGGACAGCCAGGGCACAAAAGCACATGCATCAGTTGACTTTGAAATACACAGGGAAGAAATCAAAGTCCTAAATTTCGATCAAACTATAAGGGATTGTCCAGGACAGAGTTGTAAGGCGAATTCTGATTGGGGGCCTATGCTCCTTCACGAGGGGTAACTGGCTCAAGTAAGTAAGTTACCTGAGAGAGAAAAGTTATATAAGTATTAGTTATCTCTGATACCCTTTTCTTCCTGCCTTCTAAACATATACGGAACCTGTATATGTATGTCACAGGAATTAGTGATATATTCTTCATAGGTAAAACGACGAAAGTTTTTCCGAACATGGTAACTTAACTATGATATTAGAGAATACGAATTTATGATGTGTCCTTTATAGAGAATGTGAATGAATCTATGTAAATAGAATCTGCAATCACTGACCAGACTATAAAAAAGATCTTATGCATATTGATAACTAATACCTGATTAGTTCTTACTAATGATGTCATTATTGTATATAAACTGTGAATCACCAATAGCATTATGAACGTTGTAATTGGATTCCTTTCAAATTTCATAATAATACTTGAAGTTTCTGAATCAGTCCCTGCGATTCCTTTGCAAATACTGAACGACTATGTAAAATTGTAGGAGGGTTAGAAAATGAAGGGCATTGTTTACAACGGGTGAGACACTTATAGCTACATCTTGTTAGCTGCTATTCCATCTGTGTATTGAATTTGGTACTCACAACGAGGTCAAACCGTTTGTCTCATGACTGATCTGTTGTTTTTCAGAATTGCATCGATTAGGTTGGGAAGCTATCTATGCGTTTTCTTGTGTGTAACTTGTAGCTTCTATCAACTAATTGAAAGGCTCAAACCTTTCCACTATTCAAGTCTTTACCAGCAAAGAACTTCGCAAATTGCTGTATATGGTAAACTATGTGAACGGACAATTTACAAGTTGACGAAAACTGGGTTTATTATTGACCCCTTCTACGATTATTTAAATATGATTGTAACAACTATACTCAATCCTTTGATTTGTTGCACGAGCCTGCTACAAGCGAAGAACTCGTCTCAGATCTCATGAGGGCTTGGCTCGTGTTCTTTAGCACTATAAATCATGCTAATTTTCAACGGAATATACTGCCACAGCGAAGAAACTTATATATACAACGTAACGTTTCGGCGAAACTTCTAAACTGATGCACTACAACACTTAGTTGCTCCTAACTTTCGAAAACAGTTACCCAGTGAAACTGCCATGAGGAAAGCAAAAGTTTGAAAAACGTTCACTGATACACCGTTACTACTGGTAAAGGAAGAATAACATTTAGTGCAAGAAAATAAGTTTGCTATTTGTATGTATAATGAAGTTAAAAATACAAGCACAAAAAGCTTTTTATAGTAAACACTTCTAGTCACATCTCCACACATTTCTATATTTCGAGCCATGTTTTTATCGTAAAGAAGACTTTACAAAATTAGGGTTTAGAGAAACTGGAGTCTTATTTAGTTATTGATGATTCCTTAGTAATAATTGTCACTATTCATCTCCACTATCACCTCGAACTACTTATTACATTTATCGTATCTGCTTTTTGTGCATTCCATAAATTCGTTGGATCTGTGAACACTGTTTTTTTCGTTTGGGGAACGAAACTGTTAAGTTATTATAAAAAGTATATGTATTGACAATCTTTCATCGGCTGCAGTGTCGAAAAATATGATTAACTACGAGGTTTAATCGACCGAGTTTACTCAAAAGAGCTCGTCAGAAGTAACGCAAGGATGCCAGCATGTCACAAAAGTTCGACAGTTTTACGCGCAAATGCTTGCATCTAACATATAGAGCTTGCTGCGGTCGATCACAAACACCCAATTACCGTTTGGGTATCCCAGATAGACAAAACGCGTCTTTTTGTGTTCCAGTACAATCTAAGCTTAAAACATGCTGGCTATTTGATGCCGCCTTACATTTCGCATAAAACAGTGACTTACATAACGTTCTGTATCCAGAACTGCAATGTTATCCTTATTGTCGTCACGTTAATTTCTGAACCTTATCAAGTTTCAACCAAATGTGGTGAGGTTCAGTAGAACAACTGGTATCTGAGATCACGTCACGAGGCAAAAATCGAGCCAAGGTGTGTACTACAAAACAGAGGAAGTTCTTCGTTTTCCGCAATGATTTTACTGCATCAACAGACTGCTTAAATACAAGAACACACAAAATCTATGCAATCGAACGGATAACGGACCAGCACAGAGCAGTTAAAATACGGAATGGCTGCCTAATACTAGGCTCTTCAAGGTCATTAGAACGCAATAGTGGGTGGCTTTGAGTGAACCTGACGTTTTTACAGCCCCAAAAATATCAAACAAAAAATCCAAATACTAGGGGAAAACTGTTGTTTTTATAGGTAAATAAATCAGTTGAATAATCAGTAATGCGGACAGAATAATGAAACAAAGGTGTAAGGATAAGGGGAATGGTGGTGACCTTTAGAACCATATTGAGAACTAGTTAATAATATAGAGTTCAAAAGGCCTATGTCCTTTCTAAATGGGGGCAAAATAAAGTCACATAATATAGGGTGAGTCTCTGATTAGGTTATAAATCACCGGGTATAACTCTGGGGTGATTGCCCCACGCTGTTTATGCATAAGATGAAGAATTGGATTTGCCAGGGCCACATCCTCAGTGTATTTTGAATTGATGGCACAAGCCTGTATTTCAACCGAAACGACCTGTACTCTTTTTCTTCTGTCAGTTGTTGACCAGGAACTTGACAGATGATTCACTGAGTGTCATGAAGTCAGTAAATTATTTGACGTGGAATGGCCTCAAATTAATTTTGGGGAAGGTAAATGAAACTGTTAATATATTCTCTGACATCTCTGCCGGAGTGACAAGTGCTCCAGAGTATCAAACTTATCCTTTTCCCATACAAGAAGATTTATTTGTCAAATTATACTGAGGAAGTTATTTTACAAAAATACTGACTTTTTATGCATAACTTTAAGTAGCGGTTGATCCAGCCTCTCAACCATTATTAACAATTTATACACGTAATACCACAGTGGTATCAGTGCTATTATGCTTCGTAGATAGCAAGGAGAAAGCTAG